TTTGTGTATTGGCTTGGTGAGGGGTGTTTCCGGCAGCCCTTCTCCCTGATGGGACTGTCTGCTGATGTGTTTCTTGTTACTGGGTGTGTATTGCCCCACCCTGTGTATATATATCTTGTCTCTGTGTTAAAATAAAGTAGTCTGTTTCCTGATTTATTTCAAGACTGGTTGCATCTAGTCTCTTATGGCCAGCAGTGTTGTCCGTGGATCTGTGTTCGGGAGTTTAATAGAAATACCCTAGTGCAGTGATGGCGAACCTTTTTGAGCCCGAGTGCCCAAACTGCAACACAAAACCAAATTTTTTATTTCAAAGTGCCAACACTGGAATTAATCACTTGCCTACCGGGCACTTCTACCCCCTTCCTGCCCAGGACAATTTTCAGCTTTCAGTGCTGTAGCACTTAATGACAATTGTGCGGTCATGCAACACTGTAATCATATGCAATTTTTATCATTTTTTCACACAAATAGAGCTTTTTTTGGTGGTATTTAATCACAATTGCATATGGTTATAGCAAAAAATTAAACACATAAAAGGTTTCCTTTGCTTCTATTCTAAAATTTTGCAAACAGGTAATATTTCTTCTTTGATGTGCGTTGGTGAGGCTGCACTGATAGGCAGCACTGATGGGCATTGATGAGGCGGCACAGATAGGTAGCACTGATGAGGCGGCACTGGTGAGCACTGATGAGGAGGCACTGATATGCAGGAAATGATGGGCACTGATAAGCGGCACTGACTGAAGCACCAACTGGAGGCACTGACCGGCGGGCACTGCTGGGCATCACTGATGGGCAGCACTAATGATGGTGTCACAGATAGGTGGCACTGATAGGTGGCACAGATAGGTGGCACTGATATGCGGCACTGATATGCGGTACTGATTGGTGGCACTGATAGGCGACACTGATAATCGGTACTGATAGACAGCACTGACTGACATCACTGCTGGGCACTGACTGGCACAACCAATGGGCACTGACTGGCAGCACTGCTGGGCTGCACTGATGGGCACTGGTGGGCGGCACTACTGGGCACAGGTGGGTGGCACAGGTGGGCGCATTGCTGGGCACAGGTGGGCAGAACTTGTGTGTGGCACTGCTGGGCACCGATGATCAGGGCACTGATGATCGGTGCCATTCCCTGCACTGACAACTGCCGGTTTTCGGCAGTACTTTCCTCACGATCTGACAGCGTGAGGAAAGTGCAGCCGAGAACCGGCATGTGCATTTCCCGGTGATCAGCGTGTCATTGGACACCGCTGATCATGTGGTAAAAGGCCGCTGTGATTGGCCTTTTACCACGTCACGTGATCAGCTGTGTCCGTAGGACATAGCGATCACGGAGATCGCCCGGAGCGCGCCCCCGGGGGTGCGCAGGAGAGCCCGTTCTTCCTCTTTCTTCCTGGTGCCCACTGAGATGCTCTGCGTGCCATAGGTTCGCCATCACTGCCCTAGTGCATTCGGGGTTTGGTTCGTTACTTCCCCATGGTTCCAGACTTCGGGCAAAGCATCAGAGAGGAGGAAACCCAGTTCTTCCATGGCGTTCCCACTTCAGAGATGGCTCTTTGCGTGCCATAGGTTCGACCAATCACTGCCCTCTTTGGTCATGCATTTCGGGCATCAGAGAGGAGGAAACCCAGTTTGGTTCTGTTACTTCAGGCAGTCATGCCCATCTTTGGGTTCCAGACTTCAGGGCAAAGCATCAGAGAGGAGGAAACCCAGTCTTTGGTCATGTCCATGGGTTCCAGACTTCAGGCAAAGCATCAGAAAGGAGGAAACCCAGTCTCAGAAAGGAGGCAAAGCATCAGAAACCCAGTCTTTGGTCATGTCCATGAGTTCCAGACTTCAGGCAGTCATTGCCAGTAAAGGATTTTCAACAAAATATTCAAAATAAACATTTTATTTATGACTATATTCATTTGTCCAATTACATTTGAGCCCCTGGAAATGGAGGGACTGTGTATGGTTGCAGTTCCTAAAATTTGTACTTGATATTTATGTTCAACCCCTTGAGTGAAAGCTGAATATCTGCACTTCACATTCATTTGGATTGTTTCACTTTAATTTATTCTGGTGGCATACAAAGAGAAAAGTATGAAAATTGTGCCCAAATATATATATGGACCTAACTGTGTGTATGTATATAGATAGTATAAATAAATAAAAATATAATTTTATTTAAAACAAAAAACAGTCCCGCCCCCTGCTGCTCATTGGCGGAGAGCACAGCCAGTCAGAGCCATGTGTTCTCTGCATGACTGCCTGGCCCGGATCACGTTCTGCTCGGGAGTCGCTGGAGAAAGAGAAGATATGACTCTGACTGGAGGCTCCCTTTGCCAATGGGCAGCGTGGGGGGGGGCGGGTACTGGTCCGGAGCGTGCCTCAGCCAAGCAGGGGAAGATGACCTAGGCATCTGGAGAGCCTGCTGAAGGCAGCAGGAGTTGGAGGGGGGGACGTCCTGTTCTACTGCCTGTAAAAGTGATCCATCCGTGAGTACCGGACATCATCCACCCACCTCTCCACCTTGACCAATCAGAGGAAGCTTCGTTATCATTGGTAAAAATTCAAGGCTTTTCCTGAATGGTGGATAAGTAGTCAGGCTGACTCGATTTTGTTTTGGCAGCAGATGAGGTGTTGCCCATACGGCTTACGATATGGTGTGCAATGGTTCCTCAGGTGCAGCTCTCCACAGATCGGGGAATCTCCAGCCAACTGTAAAAATGCACACAAGAGGGTGCAAACTCCTTGTGCATTACCACCGCACAGATAATTCCTAATGGATATTCACAAGCAATTAAACACATCAGGCACATAACATGAGTGTCTCAACCTTAGATGATACGTCCCATCTTGGAATTGCCTGGTTGGCAAGCTAACTCGTTTCGGAGTCTAGACCCCCTTCCTCAGAGCTGAACCAACCGAGTGTCTTGGCTGCCCTTGAGCCCGGGGTTCACACATTCTGCGGCTCTGTATATCGCCTGTGATTCGCACAGGAACCGCACCGCATTCCTCTGCCATGCATACAATTTGTGTGGGGTGTGATCGGAATCGTACATTACGTATGGCTCTAATCGCACCGCATCCGCACCAAAAAGGTACAGGACCCTTTTTTGGTCCGCACTAGAATCGGATCGCATGGGTATTCACACCTATGCGATCTGATTCTGCGTATTTGTGGACTGATTTTTGGGGTGTTAACATACACATCCGCATCAGTTCGCATGATGAACGGGGTGCGATTCTGATGCATTGCAGAATTTGCACCGTATCAGTGTGAACCTGGGCTAAATGGTCTTAAAAGCCTTAGGCCCTATGTACACGGGACACATCTGAACGATGGAAACTGCTGGAAAACGTAGGTTAAAAAAAAGTCTGTTTAGCCACGTTTGCATACCGCGTTTATGTGCGTTTGCGTTTAGAAGCGTTTTTTAAAGATATGCACAGGAGAACCTCCCAAATGCCCAGAATGCACTGAAAAGTGGTAAATTATTAACTTTTCAGAAAAATACAGAGAGTAGAAGCAGAGACAGCAGTACGTGTTGAGATTAGCTTTAGGTGAGAGTTGCTCATTAACATTTCTTTTGTTTCCAAGGGTGGGAAAGGTGTCTGGTGGAGGGAGTCATTAAGGCCACCTGGCAGGGGGTCTTCATGAGGAATTTGAGGTGTGAATTGGTCATTAACATATCTTTTGTTTCCAAGGGTGGGAGAGGTCTGAGGTGTGATTGGTCATTAACATATCTTTTGTTTCCAAGGGTGGGAGAGGTCTGAGGTGTGATTGGTCATTAACATATCTTTTGTTTCCAAGGGTGGGAGGGGTCTGAGGTGTGAATGGTCATTAACATATCTTTTGTTTCCAAGGGTGGGAGGGGTCTGAGGTGTGAATGGTCATTAACATATCTTTTGTTTCCAAGGGTGGGAGGGGTCTGAAGTGTGAATGGTCATTAACATGTCTTTTGTTTCCAAGGGTGGGAGGGGGTGAGGTGTGAATGGTCATTAACATGTCTTTTGTTTCCAAGGGTGGGAGGGGTCTGAGGTGTGAATGGTCATTAACATATCTTTTGTTTCCAAGGGTGGGAGGGGTCTGAGGTGTGAATTGGTCATTAACATATCTTTTGTTTCCAAGGGTGGGAGAGGTCTGAGGTGTGAATGGTCATTAACATATCTTTTGTTTCCAAGGGTGGGAGGGGTCTGAGGTGTGAATGGTCATTAACATATCTTTTGTTTCCAAGGGTGGGAGGGTCTGAGGTGTGAATGGTCATTAACATGTCTTTTGTTTCCAAGGGTGGGAGAGGTCTGAGGTGTGAATGGTCATTAACATGTCTTTTGTTTCCAAGGGTGGGAGAGGTCTGAGGTGTGAATGGTCATTAACATATCTTTTTTTTTTTTCCAAGGGGGGAGAGGTCTGAGGTGTGAATTGATCATTAACACATCTTTTGTTTTCAAGGGTGGGAGGGGTCTAAGGTGTGAATTGATTATTAACATATCTTTTTTTCCAAGGGTGGGAGAGGTCTGAGGTGTCATTGGTCATTACAATGTATAACAAGCTTTGGTAGGAACATCCTGTGTTCAGTGTTTAGTCCATCGGAGTACCTTGAAAACGCTTTGCATGCATTTTTCATGATGAAAAAAGGCTTCGGGAACTGGAATTTAAAAAAAAATTGCAAACACAAACGCTTATAAACGTGATTTGCCGCGTTTACAAGCGTTTTTCGTTTGAAAAGCTGATTTAATCGACTGCTGAACGCAAGTTTCCTGCTTTCAAAAGAAAGATTGTAAACTCAAATGCCTGTAAACGACGGAGTGTACACGGGCACACGTAGGAGAACATTAGGGAGAGTTCAGGGGTGGCTGAAAAAAACGCAGAAAAGCTCCTGAACGTGAGTTTATCAGCTGCCGTGTACATGAGCCCTTCAGTTGCTGTAATCTGTGTCATGTCCTTTATCTCTGTAATATCATTTGTCAGCTCTGTTCCTGACCGGTTCTTTTTCTCTGTGCAGCGTCCGTCGGGGCTATCAAGTATACAAGCAGGTGTGTGCGGCCTGTCACAGTATGGACTATCTGGCCTTCAGGAACCTGGTTGGTGTTTCCCATACAGAGGCTGAAGTCAAAGCCTTGGCTGAGGAGGTGAGGTTTTTGCTGTTCTGCATCCACTGGGTCGGGGGTCCTCAAACCCCCTGTGTACTGACCCCCAGCCCTCACCCCAGGTTCACATCTATGCGGCTGTGCGGGCCACATTTTGCACGGGCACGAGAGCACATTCATTTGACTGGACTCCTGTGCCCGGGACACGCAGGGAAAGAAGTCCCTGCACTACTTTGGAAAACCGCAGCCGAGGTTCCCAGTACAGTTGCTTTTCCCAGTGTGGGCGTCATGCCGTTAGAACTAATGGCGCTGCCCGCGGGTCCGAAATTCAGCTGCACGGATTTTCATGCGAATATGCAGCTGCACAACCAGCACAGATGTGAACCGGGGGTCATACACATCATCACTTGTAGAGTGAAGGGAGCCGTCCTGTCAGCTGACTTCCAGCTCACTGTTACTGTAAAGATAACTAGCAGGCTGGAGAGCTCACTCTGCCTCCCAACTTTCATTTATTGGGATGGACTGCAAGCTCTGCCAGAATTGTATAGCCTGCTGGGGGCGCTCACTGACCAGATGGACTCCCCTATCATTTTCCTTAACCACTTCCCGTCCGGCCCATGTACATAAACGGCCGGACGGGAGCAGTGCAGGAGTGGGTGGCCGTTTATAAACGGCCCCCGCATTCACAGCCTGTGCACGCTCCCTGGGAGCGCGCGACACTGCGATCCAGAGGACACAGCGCTGTACGGGATCTCTGTGTGAGGTCCCGATTCATGTGATCACTGATTGGCCAATCAGTGATCACATGAATAGTAGTAAGCAAGATGTCATTTCCTGACATCATTGCTTACTACGTGTGAAATCTGTGAATGATCACAGCGATCACATGGTACAGGGCTATTCACAACAGCCTTGTACCATGTGACAAGCTGTGACCAATCACAGCTCATACAGTATCCAGAGGACACAGCGGAACACTGATCACTGTACGGGACCTCTGTGTGAGGTCCCAATTCATGTGATCACTGATTGGCCAGTCAGGGATCACATGAATAGTAGTAAGCAAGATGTCATTTCCTGACATCATTGCTTACTACGTGTGAAATCTGTGAATGATCACAGAGGTCACATGGTACAGGGCTATTCACAACAGCCTTGTACCATGTGACAAGCTGTGACCAATCACAGCTCTCACAGTATTTCTCAATGGCTGCAAGAATGCAGCCAGAGAGAAGAAGAAATGATTGCTTTTACAGCCTTTACCGGTATAAAAGCAATCAGTGTAAAAAAAAACAAAAAACTCTTCATCACCCCCAAGTAGTACAGTGTCACTATGGTAACACTGTACTGCTAGGGTGACAGTATGTAGAAAAAAACAAAACAAAACAAAAAAAAAACATGAATAATATAAAAAATAGAATAAAAATGTAAAAAATTTTTTTAAAAATTATAATTTTTGATTATAAACTAATTTGGGTTATTTCATTTTTTTTAACTAAAAAAATACTGAATACATTTTGCCCAAGATTTATGAAGAAAGATTATTTATTTGCAAAATTTTATAAGAAAAACCCTTTTTGACTTTTTCATTTTATATAGCCAAAAAAAAAAAATCCCAGCGGTGAATAAATACCACCCAAATAAAGTTTTATCTGTCTCAAAAAAATGCTAAATAATTGATATGGGTACAATTGTCATTCAAAGTGTGACAGCGCTGAAAGCTGAAAATTGGCCTAGGCTGGAAGGGGGGGGGAGTGTCCGGACTGGAAGGGGTGAAAGTGTCCGGACTGGAAGGGGGGGAAAGTGTCCGGACTGGAAGGGGGGGGAAAGTGTCCGGACTGGAAGGGGGGGAAAGTGTCCGGACTGGAAGGGGGGGAAAGTGTCCGGACTGGCAGGGGGGGGAAGTGTCCGGACTGGAAGAGGGGGAAAAGTGTCCGGACTGGAAGGGGGGGAAAGTGTCCGGACTGGAAGGGGGGGAAAGTGTCCGGACTGGAAGGGGGGGAAAGTGTCCGGACTGGAAGGGGGGGAAAGTGTCCGGACTGGAAGGGGGGGAAAGTGTCCGGACTGGAAGGGGGGGGGAAAGTGTCCGGACTGGAAGGGGGGGAAGTGTCCGGACTGGAAGGGGGGGAAAGTGTCCGGACTGGAAGGGGGGGAAAGTGTCCGGACTGGAAGGGGGGGGGGTCAGTGTCCGGACTGGAAGGGGGGGAAAGTGTCCGGACTGGAAGGGGGGGAAAGTGTCCGGACTGGAAGGGGGGGAAAGTGTCCGGACTGGAAGGGGGGGAAAGTGTCCGGACTGGAAGGGGGGGAAAGTGTCCGGACTGGAAGGGGGGGAAAGTGTCCGGACTGGAAGGGGGGGAAAGTGTCCGGACTGGAAGGGGGGGAAAAGTGTCCGGACTGGAAGGGGGGGGGTCAAGTGTCCGGACTGGAAGGGGGGGAAAGTGTCCGGACTGGAAGGGGGGGAAGGTGTCCGGACTGGAAGGGGGGGAGAAGTGTCCGGACTGGAAGGGGGGGGGAAGTGTCCGGACTGGAAGGGGGGGAAAGTGTCCGGACTGGAAAGGGGGGGGGGGGGGGGAAAGTGTCCGGACTGGAAGGGGGGGGAAAGTGTCCGGACTGGAAGGGGGGGAAAAGTGTCCGGACTGGAAGGGGGGGAAAGTGTCCGGACTGGAAGGGGGGGGGAAAGTGTCCGGACTGGAAGGGGGGGAAAGTGTCCGGACTGGAAGGGGGGGAAAGTGTCCGGACTGGAAGGGGGGGAAAGTGTCCGGACTGGAAGGGGGGGGAAAGTGTCCGGACTGGAAGGGGGGGGAAAGTGTCCGGACTGGAAGGGGGGGGGGAAAGTGTCCGGACTGGAAGGGGGGGGAAAGTGTCCGGACTGGAAGGGGGGGGGAAAGTGTCCGGACTGGAAGGGGGGGAAAGTGTCCGGACTGGAAGGGGGGGAAAGTGTCCGGACTGGAAGGGGGGGAAAGTGTCCGGACTGGAAGGGGGGGAAAGTGTCCGGACTGGAAGGGGGGGAAAGTGTCCGGACTGGAAGGGGGGGTAAAGTGTCCGGACTGGAAGGGGGGGGAAAGTGTCCGGACTGGAAGGGGGGGAAAGTGTCCGGACTGGAAGGGGGGAAAAGTGTCCGGACTGGAAGGGGGGAAAAGTGTCCGGACTGGAAGGGGGGAAAAGTGTCCGGGAAAAGTGTCCGGACTGGAAGGGGGGGGAAAAGTGTCCGGACTGGAAGGGGGGAAAAGTGTCCGGACTGGAAGGGGGGAAAAGTGTCCGGACTGGAAGGGGGGGAAAAAGTGTCCATACTGGAAGGGGGGGAAAGTGTCCGGACTGGAAGGGGGGAAAAGTGTCCATACTGGAAGGGGGGGGGAAAGTGTCCGGACTGGAAGGGGGGGAAAGTGTCCGGACAGGAAGGGGGTGAAAGTGTCCGGACTGGAAGGGGGTGAAAGTGTCCGGACTGGAAGGGGGGGGGTCAAGTGTCCGGACTGGAAGGGGGGGAGAGAAGTGTCCGGACTGGAAGGGGGGGGGGAAGTGTCCGGACTGGAAGGGGGGGGGAAGTGTCCGGACTGGAAGGGGGGGGAAAGTGTCCGGACTGGAAGGGGGGGAAAGTGTCCGGACTGGAAGGGGGGGAAAGTGTCCGGACTGGAAGGGGGGGAAAGTGTCCGGACTGGAAGGGGGGGGAAAGTGTCCGGACTGGAAGGGGGGGAGAAGTGTCCGGACTGGAAGGGGGGGGAGAAGTGTCCGGACTGGAAGGGGGGGGAGAAGTGTCCGGACTGGAAGGGGGGAGAAGTGTCCGGACTGGAAGGGGGGGAGAAGTGTCCGGACTGGAAGGGGGGGAGAAGTGTCCGGACTGGAAGGGGGGGAGAAGTGTCCGGACTGGAAGGGGGGGGAAGTGTCCGGACTGGAAGGGGGGGGGGGAAGTGTGTCCGGACTGGCAGGGGGGGAAGTGTCCGGACTGGAAGGGGGGGGGAAAGTGTCCGGACTGGAAGGGGGGGAAAGTGTCCGGACTGGAAGGGGGGGGAAAAGTGTCCGGACTGGAAGGGGGGAAAGTGTCCGGACTGGAAGGGGGGGAAAGTGTCCGGACTGGAAGGGGGGGAAAGTGTCCGGACTGGAAGGGGGGGAAAGTGTTGGACTGGAAGGGGGGGTAAAGTGTCCGGACTGGAAGGGGGGGAAAGTGTCCGGACTGGAAGGGGGGTCAAGTGTCCGGACTGGAAGGGGGGTCAAGTGTCCGGACTGGAAGGGGGGTCAAGTGTCCGGACTGGAAGGGGGGGGGGTCAAGTGTCCGGACTGGAAGGGGGGTCAAGTGTCCGGACTGGAAGGGGGGTCAAGTGTCCGGACTGGAAGGGGGGTCAAGTGTCCGGACTGGAAGGGGGGGTCAAGTGTCCGGACTGGAAGGGGGGTCAAGTGTCCGGACTGGATAAGCGGGGGGGGGGGTCAAGTGTCCGGACTGGAAGGGGGGGGGGGGGGGTCAAGTGTCCGGACTGGAAGGGGGGGGGTCAAGTGTCCGGACTGGAAGGGGGGGGGGTCAAGTGTCCGGACTGGAAGGGGGGGGGTAAAGTGTCCGGACTGGAGGGGGGGGGGGGGGGGGTAAAGTGTCCGGACTGGAAGGGGAGGGGTAAAGTGTCCGGACTGGAAGGGGGGGGGGTAAAGTGTCCGGACTGGAAGGGGTTAATCTCCCGCACTGATATGACTGTTCATGTTGCTGATACACATAGGGAGATGCAAAACACAGTGTGAGGATCGTGGCTGCAGCTGTTTATTGTGCTCCCCCTGTATACTTTGTATCTTGTGCTCCCCCTGTGTACTCTGTATCTTGTGCTCCCCCTGTATACTCTGTATCTTGTGCTCCCCCTGTATACTTTGTATCTTGTGCTCCCCCTGTATACTTTGTATCTTGTGCTCCCCCTGTATACACTCTGTATCTCGTGCTCCCCCTGTATACTTTGTATCTTGTGCTCCCCCTGTATACTCTGTATCTTGTGCTCCCCCTGTATACTCTGTATCTTGTGCTCCCCCTGTATACTCTGTATCTTGTGCTCCCCCTGTACTCTGTATACTCTGTATCTTGTGCTCCCCCTGTATACTCTGTATCTTGTGCTCCCCCCTGTTTACTCTGTATCTTGTGCTCCCCCTGTATACTCTGTATCTTGTGCTCCCCCTGTATACTCTGTATCTTGTGCTCCCCCTGTACACTCTGTATCTTGTGCTCCCCCTGTATACTCTGTATCTTGTGCTCCCCCTGTATACTCTGTATCTTGTGCTCCCCCTGTATACTCTTGTATCTTGTGCTCCCCCTGTATACTCTGTATCTTGTGCTCCCTCTGTGTGCTCCCCCTGTACTCTGTATCTTGTGCTCCCCCTGTATACTCTGTATCTTGTGCTCCCCCTGTATACTCTGTATCTTGACCCGTAACATTTTTGTTTGCATTTTATTTCTCCAGTTTGAGATCTTGGACGGTCCTGATGACAACGGTGAGATGTTCACTCGTCCTGGGAAACTGTCTGACCACTTCCCCAAGCCGTACCCCAACCCCGAGGCAGCTAGAGCAGCCAACAATGGCGCCTTGCCCCCTGATCTCAGCTACATTGCCAACGCCAGGTAATACATTGTCCGTGTGAATACACCGAGTGCAGCAGAGGCAACATTGCAGGTTGTAACTGCTCTGCGGGCACTGGGTGGGGCCTACTTACTACAAATGGTCACATTTATCAGGTCATGCATGAAAATTGCAATAGGATAAAAATTGTGCAGCGTTTGAATCAAGGAAATAAATACGTAAACAGTTACCACTGAGATAATAAAAGCTGTATAAAACTAGGATGTAACCAAAACTACCAATAACTGATTGTGGTAGCAACCCAAAATAAAGTGGTAATTAAAACAATAGGATGGTTATACCGATACACATAATCTGCATAAAAAGAGAATGTCCCACTAAAAGTGCAAAATATTATTATAAATCCCAGTTAAGGGACTATATCCCGGAAATTGGTTATAAAGAGTTCCAGAATGGTTATAGCCAGATGAGTAACTTCATGGTCCCAGTGTGAACAGATAATAATCCGGTACATGCGATAAATAGTAAGATTGCACACTCACCAGAAGCGCAATCTTAATGCGCATTAATCATGTAAATCAGCCAGAGGTCTCCTCTTTAGCAGGATACAGCCTGGTGCAGGAATCGCCTCCTCTGTGGGTCTGGGCGCTTAGATGTCAATCGGAGGTCCCCTTTAAGGGTTAGCTGTAATGGGGTCTGGTCACAAAGCTCCCTCCTCTGGTCTGGAAAGAACACCCGGGGTCCAGCTGGTTTGGAAAGATGGCCGCCGGACCTCCGTGATCCGGCGGCGTGACGTCACGGCGTAGCAAGGCTCCTCCTTAACGCGTTTCGTATCAGAATACGTTTTCAAAAGGGGTGCAAAATATTATTATAAAATCCCAGTTAAGGGACTATATCCTGGAAATTGGTTATAAAGAGTTCCAGAATGGTTATATCCAGATGAGTAACTTCATGGTCCCAGTGTGAACAGATAATACTCCGGTGACGTGATAAATAGTAAGATTGCACACTCACCAGAAGCGCAATCTTAATGCGCATTAATCATGTAAATCAGCCAGAGGTCTCCTCTTTAGCAGGATACAGCCTGGTGCAGGAATCACCTCCTCTGTGGGTTTGGGCGCTTAGATGTCAATCGGAGGTCCCCTTTAAGGGTTAGCTGTAATGGGGTCTGGTCACAAAGCTCCCTCCTCTGGTCTGGAAAGAACACCCGGGGTCCAGCTGGTTTGGAAAGATGGGCGGCGGACCTCCGTGATCCGGCGGCGTGACGTCACGGCGTAGCAAGGCTCCTCCTTAACGCGTTTCGTATCAGAATACGTTTTCAAAAGGGGTGTTGCCATTAATGAAAATGCATGAAAATTGCTTCAACTGAGAACCATGCGGGGCACTCCCAGCAGAAAGACAAGTATGCAAACATGCGGCCCCACGGGAAAAAAGCCCAGTTCTGTGAGGCCACGTATTTGTGTTACGTCAGCGTCAAGGGGTTGACTTAAGAAGAGGACCGCAGCTATACATTCTCTAGACAAGGCAGAAGATTGGTGCCACTGGAGATATCTGAAGACAAGAAGATGTGTCTATACATGGCAACGAAAAAGTGTCAACAGCAGAAAGGATTTTCTAAACTGATTGATAAACATTGATATTGATTTTGTTCTAATTGAGGGTAATGCGCTATATGCAGTTATGTTGCTTTTTTTGAGGTACACATGGACACTTAAGAATTGTTTTTTGGAGATGGATCAAGTTTATGCATGATAATTTGAAGATTCACAGACGCGGAGGAGGTTTTTTTGACTTTGGACTTTCTGGGGGGGAAAGTGTGACTTTTTGTGTGTCTAGACCTAGGCTGGTGGTGTCATGGTGTGGGGGATCCATCCTGCCTTGTATCAAAAAAACGGTTCAGGGGCTGGTGGTGGTGTCATGGTGTGGCGGAATCCATCCTGCCCTGTATCAATGGGTTCAGGCTGGTGGTGGTGTCATGGTGTGGTGGATCCATCCTGCCTTGTACCAATGGCTCAAGCTGGTGATGGTGTCATGGTGTGGTGAATCCATCCTGCCTTGTACAATGGTTGGGGCTGGTGGTGGTGTCATGGTGTGGCGGATCCATCCTGCCTTGTATCAGCGGTTCAGGCTGGTGGTGTCATGGTGTGGTGGATCCATCCTACCTTGTATCAATGGCTTCAGGCTGGTGGTGGTGTCATGGTGTGGTGGATCCATCCTACCTTGTATCAACGGCTTGGGGCTGGTGGTGGTGTCATGGTGTGGGGGATCCATCCTGCCTTGTATCAGTGGTTCAGGCTGGTGGTGGTGTCATGGTGTGGGGGATCCATCCTGCCTTGTTTCAATGGTTCAGGATGGTGTTGTCATGGTGTGGGGATCCATCCTGCCTTGTATCAATGGTTCAGGCTGGTGGTGGTGTCATGGTGTGGGGGATCCATCCTGTCTTGTATCAATGGTTCAGGATGGTGGTGGTGTCATGGTGTGGGGGATCCATCCTGCCTTGTATCAGTGGTTCAGGCTGGTGGTGGTGTCATGGTGTGGGGGATCCATCCTGCCTTGTTTCAATGGTTCAGGCTGATGGTGGTGGTGTCATGGTGTGGGGGATCCATCCTGTCTTTGTATCAATGGTTCAGGATGGTGGTGTTGTCATGGTGTGGGGGATCCATCCTGCCTTGTTTCAATGGTTCAGGCTGGGGGTGGTGTCATGGTGTGGTGGATCCATCCTGCCTTGTTTCCAACAGTTGGGGCTGGTGATGGTGTCATGGTGTGGTGGACACATCCTGCCTTGTATCAGCGGTTGGGGCTGGTGATGGTGTCATGGTGTGGTGGACACATCCTGCCTTGTATCAGCGGTTCAGGGTGGGGGTGGTGGTGTCATGGTGTGGGGGGAGATTTTTCTTGGCACTAGGTGGACCTAATAAAGTGGCCGGCGAGTGTATTGTCACGTTTTATTGAGAACACATAACTTCCCATAGGTCAAATATGACATTTCCAGGCCTTGCAGAGTCTTCTACAGTTGTGCTCAAAAGTTTGCATACCCCCAGGCAGAAATTGTGACATTTTGGCATTGATGTTGAAAATCTGACTGATCATGCCAAGAAATGCTCTTTTTTTTGAAGGGTGGTGATCATATGAAGCCATTTATGATCACATCGTTGTTTGGCTCCTTTTTAAATCCTAATGATAATAGAAATCCCCCAAATGGATCAGAAGTCTCCGCCCCCTGGATCAGAAGACTCCGCCCCCTGGAATGTTGGGCATTGGTACAGACACACAAGGTGACACACACGGGTTCCATTGCCAATTAGAGGTTAATGTCCCACATCTGTGGCTTTTTAAATTGCAATTAGTGTCAGTGTATAAATCGGGGGTAGGCAACCTGAGAGCCGCAGGACTACAAGTTCCATCATGCCTCTGCAAGTCATAGCTGTAACTGTCAATTTTGTAATCTTTGCAATGCCTCATGGGAAATGTAGTTCCACAACAGATAGAGAGCCGCAGGTTGCCTTCCCCCCTGGTCTAGGGGATTTCTGTTATTTCACGTTAAGTAATTTTGTGGTTTAACGATTGTTGATATTTATCACAGCGATCATGTGACCCGGAATCGGGAGTCCCGGGTCCCAATCGTTAGAACGGGACCCGGGGCTTTCAGTGACACCGCGGTCTTTGTGCATGGTGTGCTCCCAGTAGAAAGACAGGTACGCAAATGTGCGACCCCACGGAAAAAAGCCCAGTTCTGTGAGGCCGCATGTTTGTGTGACATCGGCGTCAAGGGGTTAACTTCAATCCACAGCGCTGGCCGAAACGCCTTCTCTGTGCAGTTTGGGGCGGAGTCTAAGAGATACCCGTCAGTAACAGGTTAGTATTGTAAATGAGCACGGAAAAAAAAAAAAAAAAAAAGCTAGGGCTACGTTGGGTTTCAAAAACAGCAGCTAGCACAAGACCATAATACATAGCATAGTAAACATCACAAAACAATAGTGCAGTGCTAAATAAATGACAATGTATGTAAACATTTTAACCCCCCTGGCGGTATTCCCGAGTGTAGCTCGGGGTAAAGTTTCAGTACCGGAAGTGGTAACCGTGAGCTACACTCGGGAATACACCTGCAGTGTTGCTTCGGGATCCCTCCAGCACTTGTCCCGCGATGTCCCCCCTGCAGTGTCCCCGGCAATGTCCTCCGGCCGATGCCGGCATCTGTCTTCCGGGTTCCGTTCCCTGCGACGTCGGGACGTACGGGGGACGGAACTGGCGGGAAATTCAAAAATGTAAAAAAGTGACATTCACTAAATACACTAAATCACATAGTATTCCATTCCTGTATCAAACCATTTCACATACATTTTGTCCCGAGTGCTTTGTCCGGCGCCCTGCCTGCATTTTTACTGTTCTTTCTGCCTGGAAACTGAGAAACGTCCATGGCGTCCAAAAAGCGTCCCTTTAGGTCAGACGCGGTTTTAGACCGGCTAGAGAACAGCGATAGTAAATCAGAACCACTTGCAGAATTGAGTGATAATGATTGGTGGGGGAAATTCCTCATCAGACACTGAAAACGATTCTGCGACTTTGCTCAGCGATGTGCGAACTTGGCGCTATATTTCACATTTCAGTGTTTTTGGTTTGATTATATTATTGAATTACATTTATAATTATTATTTTTTATGATTATTTATTAAATTGATAATTTATGATTTCGTGTTTCAAATGTTATCATCCCCGGGATGTTTACTAGACTCTTGTTCGGACAGATTTCAGGGAGTTATTCCTAAGAATTACAATAAAAAAACCAACATATTTCCAATGAAAGCAATGTAACCGCTTTGAGCACAGAAAATACTGATATAATCGGACCGCTAGGGAGGGCAACCTCTTCGCGCCGGCCGCACGCAAATGTGTGGCCTCCCGGCGTCTGGGCCGGCCGCACATTAGCGTGCAAATAAGAAAAAACATATGTGCTGAGAACGCTCCCAGCACACATGTCCGGTACTCACGGAAAAGATCCCGATCTCTCTCTTCGATCGGGACCTTTCCCGATCATGTGAGTGCCGTGACGGCGAATCATGGTGGTCACATGACCGTAAAACCCCGCCCCGCCTCCCGGCTTCTGAATCCCTTGACCCAGGGGTGTCCAAACTATGGCCCTCCAGGTGTTGAGGAACTGCAAGTCCCATGAGGCCTTGCAAGACTCTGACATCCACAGGCAAGACACCGAGAGGCACTGATGGGACTTGTAGTACTTCAACAGCTGCAGGGCCATAGTTTGGACACCCCTGCCTTAACATCTTCACGCCGGCCAGATGCAAATATCCGGCCTCCCGGCATCTGGGCCTAGACGGTGAGCAGGCCGCACATTTGCGTTCAATTAAAAAAGGACATATGTTCCGAGAGTGCGCGCTCTGAGCTCTCCCAGCACACATGTTCGGTACTCGTGGAAAGGTCCCGATCTCTTTCCCAATCATGTGACGGCACGTCACGGCGGTCACATGACCCTAAGCCCCGCCTCCCCGCTTCAGAAACCCTTAAAGGGCCGGGAGGCGGCGCCGAGGGGTTAATACAAATTAGCATTGTACTGTACTAGCACTGCTGCTTGCTCTGTGACACCGAAGCCATGCCACCGTGCCCTCCTGGACAGATGAAATCAGGCAGGGGCAGCCAGCACACTATAACAGGACCCTATTGGGCCCAAGCCGCCTCCTCCTGAATCAATGGGGGCCAGTAGGGGAGTACTGCCTCTACCCCTTTATCTGTGACCCCGGAGATAGATCTGAGGGACATGACGATTCACATCATTTGGTAAGAGACTGTAGATCTGTGAGCACTGTGAAAATCCTGCTTGATCTGGCTGTAAAGGATTATGGGAAATGTGTACATAGATGAGGGTAATAGAATTGATTGCGTGACTTTGTATTCCAGGCATGGAGAGGAGGATTATATATTCTCTCTCCTCACCGGGTACTGCGATCCTCCAGCCGGTGTCGCTGTGAGGGAAGGCCTGTACTTCAACCCCTACTTCGTGGGCCAGTCTATCGCCATGGCTCCTCCTATCTATGACGAGGTGCTGGAGTATGATGATGGTAAGTGGTGTCACGTGTACTCGGTGTGTGTTCGGCCGTTACCCGTGTAGTGTGATCATTCGCCTGAGCAGACGTTGGCGGTAAAGTGAAGCTGCAACCAGATTGGAAGTGTGGAAAGATTCGAGTTCCTGTCAGATATTTAATTGCTTACAACAGTTGTGGGCAACTGTGGCCCTCCAGCTGTTGGTGAACTACAAGTCCCATCATGCCCCTTGCCTTTGGGAGTCATGCTTGTAACTCAGTTTTGCAATGCCTCATGGGACTTGTAGTTCTACAACAGCTGGGGGGCCGCAGTTGCCCACCCCTGGCTTACAAGATTAGATGGTTGGGTGTTGGATCATTCACGATCTTCCATCCCCCCACTGTACATAAATGGAGGGGAGGTGAATGCTACAGAAGGTAAGGCCCCCTAGCAAAGTCATGTGATTGCAGTGTCCATTGGAAAGTACAGATCACAAAAAAAGGCACAGAGCCGATGTGAGTGGCTCTGTACCACGTGATCGCTGCCACCGGCTCTCACTTTCCTCTCACACACCAGTCAGTGTGCGAGAGAGGAAAGCTTTTGGATTGCAGCCAGTGCCAGAAACAGTGTAATTCATCCCAGTGGTGGTCAGCTTGAAAATTATAGAGGGTCTCAAGTGCGCCCCGACATCTTCAGAGGGCCTCACTATAGAAATTAATTTTCCATACCTCAACACCCCAAATTTTGATCCTGCTTTATTTTTAGCAGCTTATCGCAGTGCATATAACCACCAACATTGGTGTCAGTGAGTGCAAAAGTAACCTCCATTATTAGTGTAAGTGGACACAGAAAACCCCCCAGCATTGGTGTCAGTGTCCTCAATAATAACCCCCAGCATTGGTATCAGTATCCCAATAATAACACCCCAGCATTGGTGTCAGTGTCCTCAATAATAACCCCCAGCATTGGTGTCAGTGTCCTCAATAATCAACCCCCAGCATTGGTGTATGCCCAATAATAACACCCAGCATTGGTGTCAGTGTCCTCAATAATAACCCCCAGCATTGGTGTCAGTGTCCTCAATAATAACCCCCAGCATTGGTGTCAGTGTCCTCAATAATAACCCCCAGCATTGGTATCAGTGTCCTCAATAATAACCCCCAGCATTGGTGTCAGTGTCCTAAATAATAACCCCCAGCATTGGTGTCAGTGTCCTCAATAATAACCCCCAGCATTGGTATCAGTATGCCCAATAATAACCCCCAGCAATGGTGTCAGTGGATGCATTATTAACCCCCAACATTAATATAAGTGGGCACAGTAACAACACCCAGTATTAATGTAAGTGAACGCAATAATAACTCCCAGCATTGGTGTCAGTAGATACAATATTAACCCCCTTCATTGATGTCGTTGTATTCATTAATAGCCCCCAACATTGGTGTCAGTTGACACAATAATAACCCCCAATATTGGTGTCAGTAGATGCAATATTAACCCCCAGTACTAGTGTAAGTGGACAAAATAACACCCAGCATTGATGTCAGTGAACGCAATAATAACCCCCAGTAATGATGTCAGTAGATGCAAGAATAACCCCCAGCAATGGTGTCAATAGATGCAAGATAAACCCCCAGCATTGGTGTCAGTAGGATGCAATAATAACCCCCAGCATTGGTGTCAGTGGATGCAATAATAACCCACAGCATGGTGTCAGTGGGCACAATAATAACCCCCAGCATTGATGTCAGTAAATGCAATAATAACCCCCACATTGGTGTCCGTGGGACGCAATGCATTGGTGTCAGTACCCTAATAACCCACCCCCAGCATTGGTGTCAGTGTCCTCAAATAAAAACCCCAGCATTGGTGTCAGTAAATGCAATAATAACCCCCAGCAATGGTGTCAGTAGATGCAATAATAACCCCCAGCATTGGTGTCCGTGGACGCAAAAATAACCCCCAGCATTGGTGTCAGTGTCCTCAATAAAACCCCCCCAGCATTGGTGTCAGTGTCCTCAATAAAACCCCCCAGCATTGGTGTCAATAGATGCAATAATAACCCCCAGCAATGGTGTCAGTAGATGCAATAATAACCCCCAGCATTGGTGTCCGTGGACGCAATAACCCCCAGCATTGGTGTCCGTGGACGCAATAAAACCCCCAGCATTGGTGTCAGTGGACCTCAATAACCCCCAGCATTGGTGTCAGTAGTCCTGCAATAAAACCCCCCAGCATTGCAATGTCAGTGTCCTCAATAAAACCCCCCAGCATTGGTGTCAGTAGATGCAATAATAACCCCCAGCAATGGTGTCAGTAGATGCAATAATAACCCCCAGCAACGGTGTCAGTGGACGCAATAATAACCCCCAGCATTGGTGTCAGTGGACACAATAATAACCCCCACATTGGTATCAGTGGACACAATAATCCAACAGCTATGTCATGACGCAATAATAACCAACCCAGTGGACATAATAACCAACAGCTGTCAGTGGACACAATAATAACCCCCAGCATTGGTGTCAGTGGACCAATAATAACCCCCAGCATTGGTGTCGGTGGACGCAATAATAACCCCCAGCATTGGTGTCGGTCCTAATAACCCCCTCCTTCGCTCCCATTGGTGGTCATTAGCAAATTGAACTCCCCAGCATTGGTGGTTAGTGGCAGTGCTATTCGAAATAAATAACTTTCACTGCCAGAGCTGTTTTTTTTGCATTTTTTTTTTTTTTTTTGCACACGTTTAAAAAAAATCATGTCAGGCCTGAAGATTACACAAAACCCCCAAAACATATATTTTCTGAAAGCAGACACCCTAGGGAATAAAATGGTGGGAGTTCCAAAATTTTTTTTTTATCACACTTTTGCAGAGAGATAAAAAGCAGCACGTCCTCGCCGACAGGAGAGAGATCTATGGTGTTTACACTCACAGATCTCTCCCATCAGCTGATCCACCAATCACAGAGTCCCAGCCATGAATCGCTGACCAGGATCTGGTGATTGACATCTTCAGGAGCCATGATTTTGCGCCGAGCGGCGGTCCGCCTTGTAGCAGTAAAACTTCTATAGGGCTTCCAGGAAGTGGTTAATAATGAACCCCCTCCGAGTAGTATGTGGCTAATGCAGGCCATACATGGGTCGAATTCTGAACGATTTTTCCAGTGCAGAATGTCGTCCATTAGTAGTAGAGGGTGCCCAGTGCAGAATGTCGTCCATTAGTAGAGGGTGCCCAGTGCAGAATGTCGTCCATTAGTAGAGGGTGCCCAGTGCAGAATGTCGTCCATTAGTAGAGGGTGCCGAATGCAGAATGTTGTCTGCTAGAGGGGTGCCCAGTGCAGAATGTCTTCCAGTAGAGGGCACCCAGTGCAGAATGTCTTCCAGTAGAGGGCGCCCAGTGCAGAATGTCTTCCAGTAGAGGGCACCCAGTGCAGAATGTCTTCCAGTAGAGGGCGCCCAGCGTAGGAATGTCGTCCACTAGAGGGCGCCCAGCGCAGAATGTCGTCCACTAGAGGGCCCAGCGCAGAATGTCGTCCACTAGAGGGCGCCCAGCGCAGAATGTCGTCCACTAGAGGGCGCCCAGCGCAGAATGTCGTCCACTAGAGGGCGCCAGCGCAGAATGTCGTCCACTAGAGGGCGCCCAGCGTAGAATGTCGTCCGTTAGAGGGCGCCCAGCGTAGAATGTCATCCGTTAGAGGGCGCCCAGCTCAGGATGTCATCCACTAGAGGGCGCCCAGCGCAGGATGTCATCCATTAGAGGGCGCCCAGCGCAGAATGTCGTCCACTAGAGGGCGCCCAGCGTAGAATGTCGTCCACTAGAGGGCGCCCAGCGCAGCAATGTCATCCACTAGAGGGCGCCCAGCTCAGGATGTCATCCATTAGAGGGTGCCCAGCGCAGAATGTCATCCGTTAGAGGGCGGTCCAGTGCAGAATGCCGTCCACTAGAGGGCGCCCAGCGTGTGATGTCGTCCACTAGAGGGCGCCCAGCGTAGGATGTCGTCCACTAGAGGGCGCCCAGCGCAGAATGTCGTCCGTTTAGAGGGCGCCCAGCGTAGAATGTCGTCCGTTAGAGGGCGCCCAGCGTAGAATGTCGTCCGTTAGAGGGCGCCCAGCGTAGAATGTCGTCCGTTAGAGGGCGCCCAGCGTAGAATGTCATCCGTTAGAGGGCGCCCAGCTCAGGATGTCATCCACTAGAGGGCGCCCAGCGCAGAATGTCGTCCACTAGAGGGCGCCCAGCGTAGAATTGTCGTCCACTAGAGGGCGCCCAGCGTAGAATGTCGTCCACTAGAGGGCGCCCAGCGCAGAATGTCATCCATTAGAGGGCGCCCAGCTCAGGATGTCATCCGTTAGAGGGCGCCCAGCGCAGAATGTCATCCGTTAGAGGGCGTCCAGTGCAGAATGCCGTCCACTAGAGGGCGCCCAGCGTAGGATGTCGTCCACTAGAGGGCGCCCAGCGCAGAATGTCGTCCACTAGAGGGCGCCCAGCGCAGAATGTCGTCCACAAGAGGGCGCCCAGCGTAGAATGTCATCCGTTAGAGGGCGCCCAGCGCAGAATGTCGTCCACTAGAGGGCGCCCAGCGTAGAATGCGTCCATTAGAGGGCGCCCAGCGCAGAATGTCGTCCATTAGAGGGCGCCCAGCGTAGAATGTCGTCCATTAGAGGGCGCCCAGCGCAGAATGTCGTGTATTATGGGGAACGCGCTGCAGAAACTATTGGCGCTGTATAAATCCCGTATAGTAATAATACTGAAGTTGAGCTGACAGTTTCCACCAAGGGCTTCTCACACACATTTGATGCTTTGTGATTGGCTCCCTTTCAGTCATGGCCGAGGGATGGTTTTAGGGATTTGTGAAGAGCAGGACGTGGTTACTAACGTGTGGATTTATTGTCTTCTCAGGGACCCCGGCCACAATGTCTCAGGTGGCTAAAGACGTCTGCACGTTCCTGCGGTGGGCCGCCGAACCGGAATACGATGACCGCAAGCGCATGGGCCTCAAAGTGAGTGGACTGGAGGCCGGCCTGACCGAGGCACCAAAATGTGACCTGATAGGATGCAAGCCAGAAGTTGTGTTTACGTCTGGATTGGGTGGATGGTAGAGCTCCTCCCCCGTCACCATACACATCCAATCATTGGGCAGGAAATAGGGGGAAAATCTCTCCATTCATAAAATGACTTCATGGGAGTCTTCAATCCTTTATTATACTGTAAACGTTGTGAGAAAGTTTAGGATCTCCAGCTATTCCAGAAGGACGTCAGCCCCATATTCCTCTCAGTACAGGGTTCCTGCAAGTACATTCGTCACAATACGGGGGGAGGGGGGGGCAGGAAATTCAGGACCAGGCAGTGTTAATGTGAGAACCACTTTAAGCCCTCCAGAGGATTCCCCCCTTTCCTGACCGGGCCATTTTTTTGCGTTACTTCAAATGACAATTGCGCGGTCATGCAACGCTGCACCCAAATGAAATTTACATTTTTCTTTTTCCCACAAATAGAGCCTTCTTTCGGTGGTATTTGATGTCCTCTGCGATTATTTTTTTTTTTTTATTTTTTGCGCTATAAAAAAAAAAAATGACAATTTTGAGAAAAAAACAATATTTTGGACTTTTTGCTATTAAACATGTCCAGTAAAAAAATATAATTTCGTCATAAATTTAGAGCCAAAGTTCTCTAAAAAAAAAAAACAATACGTGTCAATTAATTGGTTTACGTGAAAGTTCTAGTATCTACAAATGGCGGTATAGATACTGGGATTAAAAAAATTTTTTGTTACTAGTAATGGCGGCGATCAGTGGCTTATAGCGGACTGCAAAGGATAGTCTGACACTGGGGGGGGGAAGTGACTTGGTGTCACTGACATCCCCTGACACTGTACTAATGGCACTGGGCAGGAAAGGGGCTAATGTGAGGGGCGATCAAAGGGTTAACTGTGTGCTGTTTTACATACTTGGCTGTGTTTGTGCTTTGCATGGCGGACGGGAAAGAACTGTATCTGGTCTCCCCGGACCCCACATTCACTATATCCGCTCTCCCCGAGTACCCCGCATTCACTATATTCGGTCTCCCTCGGACCCCGCATTCACTATATTCGGTCTCCCCGGACCCCGCATTCACTATATACGCTCTCCCCGGACCCCGCATTCACTATATCCGCTCTCCCCGGACCCCGCATTCACTATATCCGCTCTCCCCGGACCCTGCATTCACTATATCCGCTCTCCCCGGACCCCGCATTCAATATATCCGCTCTCCCCGCACACCCGCATTCACTATATCCGCTCTCCCCCGGACCCCGCATTCACTATATCCGCTCTCCCGACCCGGCATTCACTATAACCTGCATTCACTATATCCGCTCTCCCCCGGACCCCGCATTCACTTTATAGCTCCGCTCTCCCCGGACCCCGCATTCACTATTAGCTGGTCTTCCCGGACCCCTGCATTCACTATATCTGGTCTTCCCGGACCCCGCATTCACTATATCGCTCTCCCCGGACCCGCATTCATTCACTATAGCTGGTCTCCCCGGACCCTGCATTCACTATATATCCGCTCTCCCCGGACCCCGCATTCACTATAATCCGCTCTCCCCGGACCCCGCATTCACTATGTCCGCTCTCCCCGGACCCCGCATTCACTATGTCCGCTCTCCCCGGACCCCGCATTCACTATGTCCGCTCTCCCCGGACCCCCGCATTCACTATGTCCGCTCTCCCCGGACCCCGCATTCACTATGTCCCGCTCTCCCCGGACCCTGCATTCACTATGTCCGCTCTCCCCGGACCCGCATTCACTATGTCCGCTCTCCCCGGACCCCGCATTCACTATGTCCGCTCTCCCCGACCCCCGCATTCACTATATCCGCTCTCCCCGGACCCCGCATTCACTATATCCGCTCTCCCCGGGCCCCGTGCATTCATTATATCTGGTCTCCCACAGTACAAAGAACATGGAAATCGCAATTATTTTAGTAAATATAAACTGCTAAATGCCTTTCCTCATCAGCAGTATAGAGCAGTCTTGTGACTTCTATCAGTGTCCAGCACAGCACTGGTTAAAGCTTGTAGGAGGAGTTTTTCTTTTTCTCTCTGCTCTAGGAGGATGGAAATCCCCTGACCTTCTGTCTGGACAGTGCCAATTGGCCCTGTGCTGATCATATGCACCCTCCCATAAAAAAAAAAAGAAAAAAAAAACCTCTCTAGCAATACACACCAAACTGAGCATGTGACCACTGGTTCAGTCTGTATCAGGTGGTCATTTCAACAAGAGGAGGGGCAGAGAAGACAGAATCAAACAGCCTTTCTACACAATGCGGAGGAGATTAACCCCTTAGGTCCACAGTGAGTATAACGAGCATGCTTTACTGCATCTACAGACCGATTGTACTGTTGTGGGATTAGTAACACGTTAATGATAAAAAAAACGTTTTTAGCTTTAGTATCACTTTTAAGTCCAACGACATGCATGCAACCTCATGGACCTATCTCTTTAATTCACAGTTTAGGTGTTTACTGAGCACCGGGCGCACGGCTATCACTAGATTTCTAGTGCTCTGAAGCCGGAACTTCTATTCTCAGCTGCAGATTTGCAGCCACTTTGCCCACCCCTCCTCTCCATCTGGCCAATCACAAAATACAAAGTGTTCTGTGAATGGACAGAGGAGAGAAGGGGTGGGCAAAGCTGCCAGAGCCATTTTTTGTTTTTTTTTGTCTTGCGCTCCCAGAGCCGTTTTTTGCGTTTTCGCTCCCAGAGCTGTTTTTTTTTTGCATTTTCGCTCCCCTGAGCCGTTTTTTGCATTTTCGCTGCCAGAGCCGTTTGTGCGTTTTTGCTTCCAGAGCCGATTTCGCTGCCAGAGCCGTTTGTGCGTTTTCGCTTTCTCAGTGCTGATTTCGCTGCCAGAGCCGTTTTGTGCGTTTCTGCTGCCAGAGCCGATTTCGCTGCCAGAGCCGATTTCGCTGCCAGAGCCGATTTCGCTGCCAGAGCCCGATTTCGCTGCCAGAAGCCATTTCGCTGCCAGAGCCGATTTCGCTGCAGAGCCGATTTCGCTGCCAGAGCCGGTTTTTGGGTTTTCGCTGCCAGAGCCGTTTTTTGCATTTTCAATGCCAGAGCCGTTTTTTTGGTTTTCGCTGCCAGAGCCGTTTTCATTGCGTTTTCGCTGCCAGAAGCCGTTTGTGCATTTTCGCTTCCAGAGCCGATTTCTCTGCCAGAGCCGTTTTGTGCGTTTCTGCTGGCAAATCAGAGCCGATTTCGCTGCCAGAGCCAGTTTTTGGGGTTTTCGCTGCCAGAGCCAGTTTTTTTGGGTTTTCGCTGCCAGAGCCTTTTTTTGCCAGCGTTTTCGCTGCCAGAGCCGTTTTTTGCGTTTTCGCTGCCAGAGCCGTTTTTTGGCGTTTCCGCTGCCAGAGCCGTTTTTTGCATTTTTGCTGCCAGAGCCGTTTTTTGGCTTTTCTCTGCCAGAGCCGTTTTTTGGCTTTTCGCTGCCAGAGCCGTTTTTTTTTGGCTTTTCGCTGCCAGAGCCGGTTTTTGGCTTTTCGCTGCCAGAGCCGGTTTTTGGGTTCTCGCTGCCAGAGCCGGTTTTGGGTTTTTTGCACATTTAAAAAAAATAATTTTAGGCCTGAAGATGACATAAAACCCCCAAAACGTGATATATTTTCTGAAATCAGAGACCCTGGAGAATAAAATAGTGGTAGTTTCAAAATTTTTATGTCACATGATATTACCGCAAAATTTCAGCAAAAAATAGAAGCAAGTTAATTTTAGGGCACAAAAAAGCAATAAATTACCCTATTTTTTTTGTGAACTATAAAAGATGAGGCTGCAGCGAGTAAATAAGATATCCAGCATATCAAACCTTAAATTTGCGCACGCTCGTGAAATGGCGACAAACTTCAGTGCCCTATATTTTCTATAGGAGACGCTTTTAACCACCTCCCGTCCGGCCGTTGTATATAAACGGCCGGACGGTGGCAGTGCAGGGGCGGGTGGCTGTTTATAAACGGCCTCCCCCACCCCCTGCTTGTGCGCGCTCCCGGGTCCGGACACAGTGGAACACCGATCGTCATACGGGACCTCTGTACGAGGTCCTGATCATGTGATCACTGATTGGCCAATCAGTGATCACATGCAGAGTAGTAAGCAAGATGTCACTTCTGACATCATTGCTTACTACGTGTGAAATCTGTGAATGATCACAGAGGTCACATGGTACAGGGCTATTCACAACAGCCTTGTACCATGTGACGCGCTGTGACCAATCGCAGCTCACACAGTAGTCTTCAATGGCTGCAGGAATACAGTCAGAGAGAAGGAGAAATGATTGCTTTTACAGCCTTGTACAGGTGTAAAAGCAATCAGTATAAAAAAAAAAAAAAAATAAAAAAATCATCACCCCCCACAAGTAGTAATAGTGACACTGTACTGCTAGGGTGACAGTATGTAAAAACAAATAATATAAAAATGTAAAAAAAAAATGTTTAAAATATAATATATATAATTTTTGGTTATAAACTATTTTGGGTATTTTTTTTTTTATATTAAAAAGATAACGGAATACATTTTGGCCAAGATTTATAATGAAATATTTATTTGCAAAATTTGATAAGAAAAATATTTTTTTTTTTTTTCAAAATGTTTATACTTTTTCATTTACATAGCAAAAAAAATAAAAATCCCAGCGATGAATAAATACCACCAAAAAAAAGTTTTATCTGTCTCAAAAAAATGCTACAAAATTCATATGGGTACAGTGTTGCATGACCGCGCAATTGTCATTCAAATTGTGATAGCGCTGAAAAGCTGAAAATTGTCCTGGACTGGAAGGGGGTGAAAGTGTCCGGGACTGGAAGGGGGGTCAAAGTGTCCGGACTGGAAGGGGGGAAAGTGTCCGGACTGGAAGGGGGGTCAAAGTGTCCGGACTGGAAGGGGGTGAAAGTGTCCGGACTGGAAGGGGGGGTAAGTGGGTGAAAAAGTGTCCGGACTGGAAGGGGGGGTGAAAGTGTCCGGACTGGAAGGGGGGAAAAAGTGTCCGGACTGGAAGGGGGGGGGAAAGTGTCCGGACTGGAAGGGGGGGAAAAGTCCGGGAAGGGGTGCCGGACTGGAAGGGGGGGAAAGTGTCCGAACTGGAAGGGGGGGGGAAAGTGTCCGGACTGGAAGGGGGGGAAAGTGTCCGGACTGGAAGGGGGGGAAAGTGTCCGGACTGGAAGGGGGGGAAAGTGTCGTCTGGACTGGAAGGGGGGGGAAAGTGTCCGGACTGGAAGGGGGGAAAGTGTCCGGACTGGAAGGGGGGGAAAGTGTCCGGACTGGAAGGGGGGGGAAAGTGTCCGGACTGGAAGTGGTTAAAGCCCCTTACAGGTCATCAGTTCAGCACTATGGAGGAAGTCTGCTGCTGGAATTATCGCTCGGGTTAATGTGTAGGCGCCCCAGCGTGTGCTTTTTACGTTTGTACATGCATATATGTGGTGCCTCAATATTTTTTGGGGGGATGGTATGTGCTTGGGTGTAACTTTTATTTTTTACAATTTGAAAAAAAAAAGTAAAAAAAAAAAAAAAAAAGTTTTTCGTTTTTTTTTTACTTTTTTTTACTTTTTTTTTTTCGTTTTTTTTTTACTTTTTTTTACTATTTTATTCTTTTTTTTTCACAAAGTCCCCTTTTTTTTTTTCTCTTTGAGACTTTTGTTTTTTCCACTGGGGATTGCTTTTTTTCTTTAGCGGGGACCCGGAAGTGACATCATAACGTCACTTCCGGGTCAGCGCAAGACAGGGAGGAGAGCAGACTTGTCCGCTCTTCTTCCTCCCCTCTAGTTGGCAGCAAGCCGGGCCCGAAGATGGGCGAGCGTAGCTCGGGAGAGCTCACATCTGGGGCGCGGAGAGGCTGGCACTGTGTGAAGCAGTCGGTGGCAGCGCTGCCGCCGATTTGCTTCACCTGACAGGTGAGCCCTTTTGCTTGCCTGCAGCAGGGCTAAAGGTAGAAAAACTACGTGCCCCGCGCGCCCGGAACTACATGTCTCGGGCCATAGGAATCCAACATCCCTGCCATGGGACGAGCCATCCTCCGTGTGTTCCCTCTTCTCCCCTGCAGCCGCTGCTCACTGACACGGGAGCTGCAGGGTCATGTGACCAGAGCAGACTAAAAAGACACATGGCAGGCAGACTAGATAGGAGGGGGAGATATATTTTTAAGAATAGTTTGTGTTAGGCTGGAGTTCCACTTTAACTTTCGGTTTCCCTCCCCCCCCCCCTCCTCCCCCATATGTTTCCCTCCCCCCTCCCCATATTTCCCCCCCCCCCCCCCCCATTTTTCCCTCCCCCCCCCGTGTGTTTACCTCCCCATATTTCCCCCCCCCATGTGTTTCCTTCCCCCCCCCCCCCTCCGTGTTTCCTTCCCCCCCCCCCCCGTGTGTTTCCTTCCCCCCCCCCGTGTGTTTCCTTTCCCCCCCCCCCCGTGTGTTTCCTTTCCTTTCCCCCCCCCCCGTGTTTTTCCTTTCCCCCCCCTTCCCCGTGTGTTTCCTTTCCCCCCCCCCCGTGTGTTTCCTTTCCCCCCCCTCCCCGTGTGTTTTCCTTTCCCCCCCCCTCCCGTGTGTGTTTCCTTTCCCCCCCTCCCCGTGTGTTTTCCCTTTCCCCCCCTCCCCCCGTGTGTTTCCCCCCCCCCCCCACCTCCCCGTATGTTTCCTCCCCCCCCCTCCCCGTATGTTTCCTCCCCCCCTCCCCGTATGTTTCCCTCCCTCCCCCCCCCTCCCCCCTATATGTTTTTCCTCCCCCCCCTCCCCGTATATGTTCCCTCCCCCCCCCGGTATGTTTCCCTCCACCCCCCCCCCCCCCCCCCCGTATGTTTCCCTCCCCCCCCCCCGGTATGTTTCCCTCTCCCCCCCCCCCGTATGTTCCCTCCCCCCATATGTTTCCCCCCCCCGTATATTTTTCCCTCCCCCCAATATGTTTCCCTCCCCCCAATCCCCGTATGTTTTCCCTCCCCCTAATATGTTTCCCCCCTCCCCCAATATGTCCCCCTCCCCCCCCTCCCCATATGTCTCCCTCCCCCCCCCTCCCCATATGTCTCCCCTCCCCCCCTCCCCATATGTCCCCCTCCCCCCCCTCCCCATATGTTTCCCCCCCCCCTCCCCATATGTCTTCCCCCCCCCCCCATATGTTTCCCTCCCCCCCCCTCCCCATATGTTTCCCTCCCCCCCTCCCCATATGTTCCCTCCCCCCTCCCCATATGTTTCCTCCCCCCCTCCCCATATGTTTCCCCCCCGTCCCCATGTTTCCCCCCCTCCCCTTATGTTTCCCTCCCCCCATATGTTTCCCTCCCCCCCCCCCCCCCCCCATATTTTCCCTCCCCCCCCTCCCCATATGTTTCCCCCCCCCCCGTATGTTTCCCCCCCCTCCCCGTATGTTTCCCTCCCCCCAATATGTTTCCCTCCCACCCCCCCCCCCCCATTAGTTTTCCTCCCCCCTCCCCATATGTTTCCCTCCCCGTATGTTTCCCTCCCCTGTCTTCTCAGTACATACCTCCATACTAACAGTCGAATCTTTCCACGTTGCAGATCATCATGATGGCGACTTTCATCACCGCTTTTATCTACTACATGAAGAGACATCGGTGGTCTGTGATGAAGTCCCGGAAGATGGCCTACAAACCTCCTCAGTAACCCAACGATTGTATGTGACTCATCCACACCGGGGTCCCTCCTCCCTCTGCGCTCACAGCGACGGATCATCGCGTCCCTTCTGCCTCCTCGGAGCGGGGGCCACACCCGGACGCAGTCACAATGCTGCATTGCAATATTATTTTCATGGTTCCGGCGCCCAGCGGTCTCCTGCAGTTTTTGGTTTTTTTTTTGTAATTACATTTTTTTGCTTGTTGGTTATTCATCCGTTTCATCCATAATAAGCCACCTTATCCGGGGGGGGGGGGGGAGTGGGAGGGACTCGCCAGAAAAGGTTTCAGAAAGTTCTCGGTGTCCATTCATTCCCTGTCTGGGGAGGCTCATAAATTAAAAAAAAAAAAAAAAACTTTTAAATCCGAAGTCACCAGGATTGTCTTTTGTCAGGGGGGGTGAGTGGCCTTTGTCAGCTGCAAAATCTGATGGTTGTGGACCACATGTGAATTATGGGGGGGTGGGGGTGTAGAAATGACTGATGGATGGCGTCACGCGTAACAAAGGAAGTCGCCATCACTCCAAAGATATACAATCACCGGCCTCTTTATTAGGTCCACCTGTTCAATTGCTTGTTAACACAAATTGCTAATCAGCCAATCACATGGCAGCAACTCAATGCATTTAGACATCTAGATGTGGTGAAGACGACTTGGTGAAGTTCAAACTGAGCATCAGAATGGGGAAGAAAGGGGATTTAGGTGATTTTGAACGTGGCATGGTTGTTGGTGCCAGATTGGCTGGTCTGAGTATTTCAGAAAACTGCTGATCTGGGATTTTCCCGCACAACCTTCTGTAGGGTTTACAGAGAATGGTTCGAAAAAGAGAAAATATCCAGCGAGTGGCAGTTGTGTGGAGGAAAATGCCTTGTTGGTGTCGGAGTTCAGAGAAGAATGCGCAGACTGGTTGCTGCGACATTCAGATGGTAGGGTCAATCCTGCCTTGTATCAATGGGTCAGGCTGGTGGTGGTGGTGTCATGGTGTGGTGGATCCATCTTGCCTTGTATCAATGGGTCAGGCTGGTGGTGGTGTCATGGTGTGGTGGATCCATCTTGCCTTGTATCAATGGTTCAGGCTGGTGGTGGTGGTGTCATGGTGTGGTGGATCCATCTTGCCTTGTATCAATGGGTCAGGCTGGTGGTGGGTTCATGGTGTGGTGGATCCATCTTGCCTTGTATCTTGCCTTGTATCAATGGTTCAGGCTGGTGGTGGTGGTGTCATGGTGTGGTGGGGATCCATCCTGCCTTGAATCAATAGTTCAGGCTGGTGGTGGTGGTGGTGGTGTCATGGTGTGTGTGGATTCATCCTGCCTTGAATCAGTGGTTCAGGCTGGTGGGGTATCCATCCTACCTTGAATCAATGGTTCAGGCTAGGGGTGGTGGTGTCATGGTGTGGGGGATTCATCCTGCCTTGTATCAACGGTTCAGACTGGTGGTGATGGTGTGGTGGATCCATCCTGCCTTGTATCAATGGTTCAGGCTGGTGGTGGTGGTGTCATGGTGTGGTGGATCCATCCTGCCTTGTATCAATGGCTCAGGTTGGTGGAGGTGGTGTCATGGTGTGGTCGATCCATCCTGCCTTGTATAAATGGGTCAGGCTGGTGGTGGTGGTGTCATGGTGTGGTGGATCCATCTTGCCTTGTATCAATGGTTCAGGCTGTTGGGGGTGGTGGGGTCATGGTGTGGGGGATCCATCTTGCCTTGAATCAACGGTTCAGGCTGGTGGTGTGTGGGGGATCCATCCTGCCTTGAATCAACGGTTCAGGCTGGTGGGGTATCCATTCTGCCTTGAATCGATGGTTCAGGCTGGTGGTGGTGGTGTCATGGTGTGGTGGATCCATCCTGCCTTGTATCAACGGTTCAGGCTGGTGGTGGTGGTGTCTTCATCCTACCCTGTATCAATGGGTCAGGCTGGTGGTGTCATGGTGTGGGGGATCCATCCTGCCTTGAATCAACGGTTCAGGCTGGTGGTGTGTGGGGGATCCATCCTGCCTTGAATCAATGATTCAGGCTGGTGTGGTATCCATTCTGCCTTGAATCGATGGTTCAGGCTGGGGGTGGTGGTGTCATGGTGTGGTGGATCCATCCTACCCTGTATCAATGGGTCAGGCTGGTGGAGGTGGTGTCATGGTGTAGTGGAACCATCCTGCCTTGTATCAACGGTTCAGGCTGGTGGTGGTGGTGTCATGGTGTGGTGGATCCATCCTGCCTTTGTATCAACGGTTCAGGGGCTGGTGGTGGTGGTGTCTTCATCCTACCCTGTATCAATGGGTCAGGCTGGTGGAGTGGTGGTGTCATGGTGTGGGGCCCCATGATCCATCCTGCCTTGTATCAACGGTTCAGGCTGGTGTCATGGTGGTGTCTTCATCCTACCCTGTATCAATGGGTCAGGCTGGTGGTGGTGGTGTCATGGTGTGGGGATCCATCCTGCCTTGTATCAACGGTTCAGGCTGGTGGTGTCATCAGGGGTGGACTGACCATCCTGGAAACAGGAGCACTACCCCAGGGGCCCGGGGTCAGTAGGGGGCCCCAAGAGATGCCCCTGGTACCTTTTTCATAGGCTTTTTTGAGTTTGGGCAAGGTGTCATGGTGTGGGGCCCCATGATCCCCTATTGCCCAGGGGGCCCCATGAGTTGTCAGTCCACCCCTGGGTGTCATGGTGTGGTGGATCCATCCTGCCTTGTGTCAACGGTTCAGGTTGGTGGTGGTGGTGTCATCGTGTGGTGGATCCATCCTGCCTTGAATCAACAGTTCAGGCTGATGGTGGTGGTGTCATGGTGTGGTGGATCCATCCTGCCTTGAATCAACAGTTCAGGCTGGTGGTGTCATGGTGTGGGGGATCCATCCTGCCTTGTATCAACGGTTCAGGGTGGTGGTGGTGGTGTGGTGTCATGGTGTGAGGGATCCATCCTGCCTTGTATCCACGGTTCAGGGTGGTGGAGGTGGTGTCATGGTGTGGAGGATCCATCCTGCCTTGTATCAGCAGTTCAGGGTGGGGGTGGTGATGTCATGGTGTGGGGGAGATTTTCTTGACACTAGCAAGGTGGAGCTAATAAAGTGGCCGGCGAGTGTATTGTCACGTTTTATTGAGAACACATAACTTCCCATAGGTCAAATATGACATTTCCAGGCCTTGCAGAGTCTTCTACAGTTGTGCTCAAAAGTTTGCACCCCCGGCAGAAATTGTGAAATTTTGGCATTGAAAATCTGACTGATCATGCCAAGAAATGCTCTTTTATTGAAGGATGAGGATCATATGAAGCCATTTATGATCACATTGTTGTTTGGTCCTTTTTAAATCCTAATGATAACAGAAATTCCCCAAATGGATCAAAAGTCTCCGCCCCCTGGATCAAAAGTCTCCGCCCCCTGGAATGTTGGGCCTTGGTACAGACACACAAGGTGACACACACGGGTTCCAATGCCAAGTAGAGGTTAATGTCCCACATCTGTGGCTTTTTACATTGCAATTAGTGTCAGTGTATAAATCGGGGGTAGGCAACCTGAGAGCCGCAGGACTACAAGTTCCATCATGCCTCTGCAAGTCATAGCTGTAACTGTCAGTTTTGTAATCTTTCAATGCCTCATGGGAAATGTAGTTCCACAACAGCTAGAGAGCCGCAGGTTGCCTACCCCTGGTATAAATAGTCAATGAGTTTGTTCGCTCTTACGTGGAAGCACTGACTAGAGTAGATACTGAGCCACGGGGATCAGAAAAGAACTGTCGAAAGTCCTGCGTAACAAGGTAATGGAACTTTATAAAGATGGAAAAGGACATAGAAGAGGTCCAAAGCCTTGAATATGCCAATCATCACTTCCACTAAGAAGTAGAAAATTCAGGGACCTCTCGATACCAAGCCAAGGTCAGGTAGACCGAGAAAGATTGCAGCCACAACTGCCAGAAGAATCGTTCGGGATACAAAGGGAAACCCACAGCTAACCACAAGCAAAATACAGGCTGTGCAGGTATTGGTGCCGATGCTTTGCGGTCAGATTTGCGTCGGGTGCAAATTGCGCCACAAAAATTAGCATGCAATTTGAACAGGATGCGATTCTGTCCAAAGTGCATGCGGCTTCCCCACTGCTCCTGCGTGACCCGACCCCCGGGCGTGTCATTTTCACGATTTCTTGTGAAAACGCTCCCGATACCAAAAACCGATACTTTGCGTCGATACAAATTGCACTGCAAAAGATTAGCATGTGATTTGAACAGGAACCTACCTACCTGCACCGCTCCAGGAGCAGCGGGGAAATCGCATGCAGTTTGGACAGGAATCGCAGGCTATTCTTGGTGCTGCAATTTGTGTCCATTTTATATTGACGCGAATCGCACCGCAAAGTATCGGTGAGGACTTGACTGAACGTATCGGTGAAAACGATAAAAAAAAAAATGAGGGTATCGGTGTCTCTAGTTTGCAGGAAATGTATAGCATCTACAAACTTTGGCATATTTTCTAGATTATTTATTTTATTTTTTTTTATATATTTTTTTTTTAATACTAGTGATCAGCAACATAGTAGGACTGTGATAGTGCAGCAGGGAATCTGACACTAACTGACACTGGGTGTGAATTGACTAACTGGCACTGACATCACCAGTGTGAATACTATACGCTGGCTGGGAAGGGGTTAACATCTAGGGGCAATCAAAGGGTTAACTGCGCCTAACAACGTGTAATGCGTGCTGCTTTTGCTAACCAATGCGACTTTTACCTCCCAGGGAGGAAAAATCGGCCACATTGCTGCTGTCTCTTACAGAGCTCTGTGTTTTTCATAAACACAGGGCTCTACTGTCATCCGCTAAGCCAATCAGCTGTTCCTGTCCATAAATCGTTGTCCGGGACCCGCTGACTAACTTGTGCTGCAGCAGATGACAGCTCAGATCAGGAGGCGGGTACCCGGAAATGACCATGCCTCCCGCCGACGGGTGCTTGACTCCATCCCCCACCATCTCTACCGGCCCTCAAGGGAGGAAGACTCTTCAGCAGGACC